GCAGGTTATATACACGGCTTGCTCCTTCCTGATGTGTCTTGAGGTACTGTGCTGATTATGCTTGGGACAGAGAAGCATACCGTTAGACTGTAGAAATCACTGGAAAGAAAGCAGAAAACTGGTACTTTCGGCTTTCACATGATCAAGGTGTTTTCCTAGGATACTGTAGGCCACTGAAGCTACATGATAGTACATTAATAATTCAACACAGCACATTGATTAACTACCAGCCCGTGACTTCAGCAGCTAATGGCACCTAAAGAAAATGTACTTCAACTTTCTTATCAAAAAACGGTCTTGATAAGACACCAGGTGACTGTAACTTTGGTCACTGCTCTGGAATGTCTCTGTTGGTGCTGCCGGTTTTCATTGCCCATAGGTGCAATATGGAAATTTTTATAAATGCTCCCGTTTAATGCTTTTACACATTAACAACATTTTTATACGGTATTGTAACTGAAAACGAACAAGTATTCTTCTTATCTCACCTGTACAAAAGGGAGTGGTGAGAATTCGGGAGTTAATATTGTAAAAATACCAGAGATAAGAAATACATGTTTAAGTATTACTGGTTTTGATTGGCACTGAATCCTCATGAAGCATCCATGAGAATCAAACAGAGCCAGGGACTAGGAAAAGTGGAAAGTCTGTATTTTTATACTACCGTAAAATCTATTAAGTTGGTGCAAAAGTAATCATGATTTTTGCAATTACTTTAATGGCAAAAACCACAATTACTTTTGCACCAACCCACGCCTTTGAGAAGGAAGAGAAGTTTTCAGCGTGTTTAAAATTTGCCATCCGTAGTTTGTTGTGAAAGGGAAAGAAAATTTGGTGACAGTTAAAAATTTAAATCAGTGGTTTTCAGCTAGAGGCGATTTCCCTCCAGGGGACATTGAGCAAAACCAGGAGAGATTTTCAGTAGTCACAACTGTGTGTGGTGTGGGAGGGGGTCATGCTATTGGCATCTAGTAGGTAGAGATCAGGGATGCTGCCCACATCCTGTAATGCACAGGAAAGGCCCCCCCAGTAGAGAATTACCTGGTCTGGTCCCAATTGTCAGTAGTGCCAAGGCTGAGAAACACTGAGTTGAGTAACAGCTGTTGGGAGCTTCCAGCACGGGACTGTCTCTTTCAGCAAGGAATTAGCCATCCTGTTAATTGAAATTATTTTCCTCAGGTTATGCAGGGAAAATATACTCCTCTATTTTCTTTCTATTTATTTATTTATCTATTTATTTATTTATTTTTAAGGTAGAGTCTTGTGCTCCTCTACTATTTATTTATTTATTTATTTTTGAGACAGAGTCTTGCTCTGTCACCCAGGCTGGAGTGCAATGGTGCAATCTCTGCTCACTGCAACCTCCGCCTCCCAGCTTCAAGGGGTTCTCCTGCCTCAGCCTCTGCAGTAGTTGGGACTACAGGTGCACCACCATGCCCAGCTAATTTTTTGTATTTTGGTAGAGACGGGATTTCACTGTGTTAGCCACACTGGTCTCCTCAGATGATCCACCTGCCTTGGCCTCCCAAAGTGCTGGGATTATAGGCATGAGCCACCGTGCCTGGCCTTACTCCTCTACTTCTTATAGGTTTAGTCTGGACTAGATATCTTCTTTATACATAGCTCTCAAATTATCAGGCAATTCAGTCCCCAAAATCTTCAGGCCAGGTGCTTGATAGATTGTGGGTGCAAAACAACAAGCAGGTTGGTTCAATGGTTCACTTCTCAGCTGGTTGGTTCAGACTCTGTGGACACACAGCTGTTTTGTGGTGATAAAGAGAGCAGAAGAAAGAAGTTGGTTGAGGAAATGCCTTCACATTTCAACACTCCCCTTCAAGGAAGGGGAAAGTTGGCTTTTCAAATACTTGCCAAGTGTGAAGCCATCCAGGAGCAGTTACAGAATCTGTTTTCCTTGACTTAGTTCATGAACTATTTATTGAGCACTTACCATCCCAATCCCTGTGATAAGTACTGCTCCTGATACAAAGAAAACTCAAATGATTTTAAGACTAACTAAAAAACAATTATAGCCATTTTGCGAAGAGACGAAGACTGAGCGGTTGTGGCCGTGTTGCCGACCTCGGGCAGCAGGCGGCTTCTCCACGTAGAACCCGGGAGTAGGAGACACAGAATTGAATCTCTTCTCCCTCCTCCCTCCTGTGAGAGTTTTTTGATCTTCAGCTATATTTTTGGCTTTGTGAGAAACCTTGTCATCAAACACAATGGCCAGCAATGTTACCAACAAGACACCATCAACTCCTGTGTGTTCATTGGGAATCTCAACACTCCTGTGGTCAAGAAATCTGATGTGGAGGCAATCTTTTCCAAGTATGGCAACATTGTGGGCTGCTCTGTTCATAAGCGCTTTGCCTTTGTTCAGTATATTAATGAGAGAAATGCCCAGCCTGCTGCAGCAGGAGAGGATGGCAGAATGAGTGCTGGCCAGGTTTTAGATATTAACCTGGCTGCAGAGCCAAAAGCGAACCGAGGAAAAGCAGGTGTGAAACGGTCTGCAGCGGAGATGTACGGCTCCTCTTTTGACTTGGACTATGACTTTCCACGGGATTGTTATGATAGGATGTACAGTTACCCAGCACGTGTACCTCCTCCTCCTATTGCTCAGGATGAGTGCCCTCGAAATGTCAGCGTGTATCAGGAAACACCTCACGAAGGGGCAAAAGTGGCTTTGATTCTAAGAGTGGACAGCAGGGATCTTCCAAGTCTGGAAAGTTGAAAGGAGATGACCTTCAGGCCATGAAGAAGGAGCTGTCCCAGATGAAACAAAAAGTGGATTTTCTCCTGGAAAACCTGGAAAAAATTGAACAGAGCAAACAATCTTGAAAAGGAACAGAGCAAACAATCCATAGAGATGAAGAATGGTAAGTCAGAAGAGGAGCAGAGTAGCAGCTCCGTGAAGAAAGATGAGACTAATGTGAAGATGGAGTCTGAGGGGGGTGCAGATGACTCTGCTGAGGAGGAGACCTACTGGATGGTGATGGTAATGAAGATCGGGGGGATGACCAGCTGGAGTTGATCAAGGATGATGAAAAGGAGGCTGAGGAAGGAGAGGATGACTCTTAGGCACATAGTGGGGTTTAGAAATCTTATCTCATTATTTCTCTACCTAGGTGCTTGTCTAAGATCAAATTTTTCACCAGATCCTCTCCCGTAGTATCTTCAGCACATGCTCACTGTCCTCCCCATCCTTGTCCTTCCCATGTTCATTAATTCATATTTCCCTGTGCCTAGTCCCATTCTCACTCCCTTTGACACTCCTAGTAGTTTTTTGTCAAGTCTTACTCTGTAATTTTTGCTTTTAATTTTGATACCTCTTTATGACTTAACAATAAAAATGACGTATGGTTTTTATCAACTGTCCCCAAAATAATCTCTTGTTATGCAGGGAATACAGTTCTTTTCATTCATACATGAGTTCAGTAGTTGCTTCCCTAACTGCAAAGGCAATCTCATTTAGTTGAGTAGCTCCTGAAAGCAGCTTTGAGTTAGATGTGGGTGTGTTACACCCCACCTTAGTGTGCTGTGTGGGGCAGTTCAACACAAATGTAATGACGTATTTTTGTGAATGAGGGTTGGCATGTCAAATGCATTCTCTAGAAAAATAACTAGTGTTACAGTCTTAAGATTTGTTTTCTCAAGTTGATACTGTGGGTTATATTTGTGAACAGCCTGATGTTTGTGACCTTTTTTCCTCAAAATAAACAAGTCCTTATTAAACCAGGGGAAAAAAATATTACACAGTCCTGTAGGTCATCCTCTTATCTCAGAACAAAAGAAATGTTGGACAAAGGATTTCTCTCCTAGATTTTATGTTATCTGTACCTTACAATGTATAAAGTTAAATCCACATTGTATGCATGTAATTGTCTATTGAAAGCTGTAAAAATATACAAATTTATAATACATGATTCAGTCGTATGTTAATTTTCTTGATTTTTTTTTCCTTAGAATGCTTTTGCTTTATCTTTGAAAGATTACCCAGTTCTGGGGCTTACTAGTAGAGATATACTGATATATAGCAGGCAAAATTAAATTTAATTACAATACATAAACTTCATCATATGAAAAAGGTTTTAAATTGAACCTCTCTTGGTCCAGCCTATAGGAAAACAAATTACCTTTCATTATGACACACGTGAATCCATCTCTAGACACTTCAGTAGAACTTACTGAACAAATACGACAGAAGAGTTAGGAAGGTGGACCCTGGAGCCAGACCGCCTGGATTAAAATCCCGGCTCTGCCACTGATACTCTGACTGTGCAACCTTAGATCACTTCCCTCCTGGTGCCTCAGTGTCCTTATCTTCAAATTGAGGATAACAGTCATAGTATTTTCCTTAGAAAGTGATTATAAGAATTGAATGAGCTAATGCATGTAAATAGCACATAGTAAATGCTCAGTATACATTATTTTTATTGTCATCATTATTGTTGCATTGTATTTTATTCTTCTGTATTTGTACTAAAGATGCACTGATGGATGGAGCCATTGCAGCTTGCCCACGTGTAATGTGGTATAAAGGCTCCTTATTTCGATTCCACGTGTTCCTTGAAATAGTTATCTTTTAAAAACACGTATTTGGCCAGGCGCGGTGACACATACCTGTAATCCCAGAACTCTGGGAGGCCGAGGTGGGCGAATCATGAGGTCAGGAGATCAAAACCATCTGGCTACCATGGTGAAAGCCCATCTCTACTAAAAATACAAAAAATTAGCTGGGCATGGTGGCAGGTGCCTGTAGTCCCAGCTACTCAGGAGGCTGAGGCAGGAGAATCGCTTGAACCCGGGAGGCAGAGGTTGCAGTGAGCTAAGATCATGCCACTGTACTCCAGCCTGGGTGATAGAGCAAGACTCAAAAAAACCCCAGACAAAACAAAACAAAACAAAACCATACTTTGGAACAGGACATTTATTGACTGATTTATGACCAAAGCCTCTGACTTTCTGTGCAGTATGACCATAGGAAGTAATGGAATAACACCAGCATCTTGTATTCTTAATCCTTTAGAGCATCTCAGTCTTCAGGCAGCAGAGGAGGACATATGTTAGAACTGGAGCCTCTGACTGCCTTGGAAGAAGATGCTTTCAACTCGTTTAGCCTGTTGTAATACTTGAGGGGTACTGGTTGATTGTGCTTTAAAGCTGTTAATATCAAATATGGTCTGGCTATATTTATGCCGAGTTGTGGAAATATTATGTAATATTATGAGATATTTATGTAAAACTTTTGAAATCATAACCATCTAAGGCAGTATAGGAAAGAGAAAGAGTAAGGATGTTGAAACACTAAAACAGTAAGTTTTATAAGACAAAAGTAACCTTACGTTCAAAATAAGAGGTCTAGGAATTATACTGATTTCAGACTGAATTCGTAGTAAATAAACAATTACCTCTATATAAGGCTAAAAGTTGTTCCTAAAGCAGGATAGGATGAAAATGCGATACACAAACAGGCTTCTAGAACATGTCTTACATGCTCTCCTACATACAGACACATGATTACTTTTGAGCTTACCTACATTTGGTGTGGTATCTAAGTTGCCTGTGTTATTCTGGTGAGCAAAGGTGCTTGATCAAAACCATCTCTTCAAAGTTTGAATTTCCTCATTAAAATGATCAGATGGGAGCTATTCACCTAAAGAATACCATAAAAATATTAGAAAACATTGTTTTTTGTTGTTGTTGTTTTGTTTTTTGTTTGTTTGTTTTGAGATGGAGTCCCACTCTGTCACTCAGGCTGGAGTGCAGTGGCATGATCTTGGCTCACTGCAACCTCCACCTCCTGGGTTCAAGTGATTCTCCTGGCTCAGACTCCTGAGTCGCTGGGACAACAGGTGCATGCCACCACACCCAGCTAAATTTTTTTGTATTTTTAGTAGAGACAGGGTTTTACCTGTTAGCCAGAATGGTCTTGATCTCCTGATCTCATCATCTGCCCACCTCAGCCTCCCAAAGTGCTGGGATTACAGGTGTGAGTCACCATGCCCAGCTGGAAATCATTGTTTTTTAAGCATTGATGTTGATAATTGTTAGACAGTATCTGAAACTTTTGAAATCATAACCGTCTAAGGCAGTATAGGAAAGAGAAAGAGTAAGGATGTTGAAACACTAAAACAGTAAGTTTTATAAGACAAAAGTAACTTTGCATTCAAAATAAGAGGTCTAGGAATTATATTATATTGATTTCAGATTGAATTTGTAGTAAATAAACAATTACCTCTATATAAGGCTAAGAATGTACTCATCTATAAAACCAAAAATGTGAACTCGTTTATCTCTAGGGTACATTTTGTCTCTAAAATGTCAAAAATTCATCTAAAATGTTTCCCTGGATTGAATTCCTCAAGGGTCAAGTTGCATGCACCTTTGATAGAGTGCTGAATGAAGCATTACTAATAACCATTACACTGATTTGGATTTAAATGCCTCTTATACAGCTCAAATGCAGGCTTGAAAAGTAGTGTCCCCATGGCGGTAAAAGCGTCAGTATGAGTGTATGTGTGGAAAGATTTGTTGTAGGAAGATCAGTCAGCCCTAATTCATGATGACTTCAATGGTGTGGGTGCAGCAGTGGAGCCACAGCCTTGACAGCATCATCAGAGTGAACTTTAATTAAAAACAAGTGGAGAAATCAACAGCCAGGATTTACCCAGGAAATAACTAAATGACCTACAGCTCAGAAGAGATATTTCGAGGCACGATTTTATTGTATTCTAGTGGGAGAGAATAATTCTCCTTATAAAAATTCTAAGAAAAGTTGGAAAAATAATGAGCACCATAAATTAGACTTGAATTTGGCATGCCTTGTAGCTGCAACACATCCCATTCTGTGTCCCTTAAACTGTCGGAGAGCAGGCAGGTGTAACTCATCCCTGTAACTTGGGTAAGCAGAAAATAAAATAATCCTATTTAAGAAACAAATAGCAAAAAGAGGAAACTATAAAGAAATGGTCAAATAGAATTGCTTAGTTGTTGAGAGAACTGTGCAACTCAGCTAAGTGACAACAAAGGAAAAAAACCTAATGAAGTTGCTGAAGAGGGGGAAATATTTTTTTAGTGGCATAAATCTCAAAACCAAACAACAACAACAAAATGACAATATGTATGCTTTTAAATAGATGGAAAAAAATTCTTGTTTTCTAAAATGTGACTTTAAAGGCACTTGGTAGAAATTCTGATAGCTACAGTTCAATTTCTTTCTATAATAACACTTTTGATACAGAATCACTCTTTATCATTTCATAGTTCCAAAAATGTATTAAAGGTACAATATTATATATTTTAAACAAACAAATATTTTTAAGTATCATACTTACTACTGACTGCTGCTTACCAGTGTGATGCACATTAGCTACTCTGAATGTCAGCTTTCGTATCTGTAAAATGGGAGTAAAGGCTGGATGCGGTGGCTAACACCTGTAATCACACTTTGGGAGGCGGGCGGATCATTTGAGGTCAGGAGTTTGAGACCAGCCTGACCAACACGGTGAAACCCCCATCTCTACTAAAATGCAAAAATTAGCCAGGCCTGGTGACAGGTGCCTGTAATCTCAGCTACTTGGGAGGCTGAGGCAGGACAATCACTTGAACCCAGGAGGCGGAGGTTGCAGTGAGCCAAAATCGTGCCACTGCACTCCAGCCTGGGCAACACAGTGAGACTCCCTCTCAAAAATTAAACAATAAATAAAATGGGAGTAAAAACCTTTACCTCCAGAGTTCCTGGGAGTATAAATTACATGCATTATACATTAATTTCCATACATAGTATTGTAGTGGGTAGCTGGCAGGAGTCCAAAAAATGCTGTAGCAGCTTGCAGGTAGTGTTCTTGGTATGCTGAACTCTTGACTCTGTGACAGTTTGCCTATTATTTACCAAATCAGCTTACTGAGCCTCAATTTCAAAATCTTCAAAAATGGCAGGAAAACTCTGTGTGTGTGTGTGTGTGTGTGTGTGTGTGTGTGTGTAATATTTATTTATATTTATGTGTGTGAGAGAAACATTTGAGATTTGCAGTGTGCTCAGGAATATAAAGCATTCTGGGAAAAAGATGTCATTCAAATGCAAACGAATACTCGTCATTTCCTCCAGTTTTATTGACTAAAAGCATCAATTGCAACATCTCAAAATCTGATCTATTTCTGTTTTATGGAATTAAAGCTTGATTTAACGCATGTCTTGTGGTCTTTCTGGGTCTAGGAGATGAACAGACCAAAGTGGAAATAAACAAAGCCAGGAATCTTAAGCTAGAGTGTTGAGAACTATTCACTCCCACACTCTGAGGAATTTATGACCGGTAAGTTGCTCTCTAATGAGCACAGAACAAGAGCATTGCATCTTCTCTTAATTAGTTTGACAGATATTCATTTAAATTTGAAAAGATTCCCAGACTTGGGATAGCAAAGGAAAGTCTTTAATTCCTTTTGCATCTTAATTCTGTTTTTGTTGTGGTGGCTCTGGGGAATGTCAATATCTGAAGACAAATAAAAACTCATGTCTTCATCCTGGGACCTCCACATTTTCTATTTATTACTGGCCACAAACCACCAGGTTTCAGTTTGCAGCTGTAAAGTCTAACACAAAAGCAACAGGTTCTTCAATAATACTGTTGGGCCTGGTTTCTATGAGGGGTGGATTTTTTTTTTTCTCTTGGTTAATAAAGGACAGAGTTTCAAGGCAGGCTTTAAATAGCCATCTTTACATCAGAATAAGTCACTGCGTGGGCATCATGAAACTATGAATTGTTTTTACCCATAGGGCATAGTTACCACCAGCCCTTGGTAATCCATGGAAATGAGTAATTGGGAGACCTTATATACTCCCAAGCCCCGCCCCCGCCCTTTTGTGTTTTTTTTTTGGAGACAGAGCTTTGCTTTTGTTGCCCAGGCTGGAGTGCAGCCGCGGGATCTCAGCTCCCGGCGCGATCTCAGCTCACTGCAACCTCTGCCTCCCAGGTTCAAGCAATTCTCCTGCCTCGGCCTCCCAAGTAGCTGGGATTACAGGCATGTGCCACCACACCCGGCTAATTTTTGTAGTTTTTTAGTAGAGACAGGGTTTCACCATGTTGGCCAGGCTGGTCTCGAACTCCTGACCTCATGATCAGCCCACCTCAGCCTCCCAAACTGCTGGGATTACAGGTGTGAGCCACCGTGCCCAGCCCTCCCAAGCCCTTTTAACCAGTAATAATAGTTACCTTTATGAAGGTTGTTAAAATATAGCAAGAGTGCTAATGATATACTTCACTTTATCATGCTTTAACCTCTAGCTGTGCAGGCTGTTCACTCCAAAACAGTGCCCAACTGGGTAGCACCAGGAGCTTGGCTTGCAACCCACCCCGCTTCACTGGCCTGGCCAGGCATCTGTGAGGCTGACTGCATAGGCTGAGGGATCCTTCTCCCGCACACAAAGAAAAGCCCCATATGGGCTGGTTGTGGACCAGACTGAAAAGAGCTGCTATTGAGGAAATGTCCAAACATAGACTACCTTGGGAAGAAGGCACAACACTTGCCTAATCTACCAAAGCTCAGTTTTTAACTCTCAAGGGAGCAAGTTCGTTCATCAGTGAGCCTCGTCCAGCTTTACTTTGGCAAGTGCCCCCCATCCGATCTCTCTCCTCTCACTACCATTTCCCCATTACCTTAGAGCAGATTCCTTTTAATCAATCAACTCATCTTAATGAAGCCAGAATATAACATTCAAGGAAAGGGGGCTGGTATTTGAGTTCTGATTTAAAGAAAAAGAGGCAGAGCTTGCAAAGCATCACCTTTTGTTCTCTCAGTCCATTGGCCTGGTCATTAGATTATACTCTCTGGAAAACTGATTTGATTGATTGGACAGAGATGGTATAGCATAGCATAGCATAGCATAGCATAGAGCATAGCATAGCACAGTGTCAGGTCAGAAGGCCTGGGGGAAAACCCCTGCTTTACTGCATAGTGGAATAACCTTGAGCAAGTTAATTCATCTCTTTGAGAATCCATTTCCTTCTTGGTAAAACAAGAATGATAATATGAGGCTGGGGTGAGTTAGTACATGTAAAGTGCTCAACACTCTCGCTGTGGAAAGCAGTGGTTCTCAAACCTGGACCAGCAGCATTACCTGGGAACTTGTTAGAAATGCAGATCTTAGGTCCCAAATAAAACTTAGGGGTATAGGAGAAAACACTTGCAAATATTATGTCTGGCAAGGTGTTAATATCCAGAATATAAAAAGAACTCCAAAACTCAACAACAACAACAAAACAAGCAACCCAATTAAAAAATGGGCAAAGGGCTTGAACAGACATTTTTCCAAAGGAGATATGCAAATGGCCAATAAGCACATGAAAAGATGCTCATCACTGATCATCAGGGAAGTGTAAATCAAAACCACTGTCAGACACACAGAAAATAACAAGTGTTGTCAAGGTTATGGAGGAATTGGAACACTTGTACACTGTTGGTAGGAATATAAAATGGTGTGATGGTATGAAAAACAGTATAGGTATTACTCAAAAAATTAAAGGTAGGATTACCATATGATCCAGGACTCTATTTCTAGGCATACACCCAAAAAAACTGAAAGCAGAGTCTCAAAGAGACATGTGTCCACCCATGTTCATAACGTTATTCACAATAGCCAAATGACAAAAGTAGCCCCAGTGTCCATCAATGGATGAATGGATAAACAAAATGTGGCACACATATACAATGGAATATTACTCAGCCTTAATAAGGAGTGAAATTCTGACACATGCTACATGACACAAGGTTCATAAACGAACCTGGAGGACATTACAAAATAAGCCAGTCTTACACACATACAACTATGTGATTCCATTTACATGAGGTACCTAGAGTAATCAAACTCATAGAGACAGAAAGTAGAATGTTGGTTGCCAGGGTCAAGGGGTTCAGAGAAGTGGGAGTTATTGTTTAGTGGGTGCAGAGTTTCAATCTTGCAAGATGGAAAGAGTTCTGCGGATGAATAGTTGCAATGATTGTATAACAATGTGAATGTGCTTAACAATACTGAACTGTACACTTAAAAATATTTCGGATGATCATTCTTATGTGTATTTGACCACAGTTTTAAATAGACACTCAGTGGTGGGGCCTAGCAATCTGACAATCTGAGTTGTAATACTTCCTCTAGGTAGTTTGTTTTTTTTTTTTTTTAAGATGAAGTCTCGCGCTGTTGCCCAGGCTGGAGTGCAGTGGCATCATCTAGGCTCATTGCAACCTCTGGCTCCCAGGTTCAAGCGATTCTCTTGCCTCAGCCTCCCGAGTAGCTGGGATTACAGGGGTGTGCCACCATGCCTGGCTAACTTTTTTTGTATTTTTTTAGTAGAGATGGGGTTTTACCATGTTGGCCAGGCTGGTCTTGAACTCCTGACCTCAGGTGATCCACCCACCTCGGCCTCCCAAACAGCTGGGATTACAGGAGAGAGCCACTGACCGGACCCCTCTAGGTAGTTCTAATGCTTGCTCAAATTTGAGAAATACTAATGTAGCGTAAGCGTTTAATAAATGGTGGCTGATATCAGCCAGGTGCGTGGCTAACACCTGTAATCCCAACACTTGGGAGGCCGAGGTGGGCAGATCACCTGAGGTCAGGAGTTCAAGACCAGCCGGGCCAACACGGTGAAAACCTGTCTCTACTAAAAATACAAAAATTAGCTGGGTGTGGTGGCAGGCACCTGTAATCCCAGCTACTCGGGAGGCTGAGGCAGGAGAATCACTTAAACATGGGAGGCAGAGGTTGCAGTGAGCCGAGATCACACCATTGCACACCAGCCTGGGAGACAAGAGTGAAATTCCATCTCAAAAAAAATTAAAAATTTAAAAAAAAAACTATATAAATGGTGGCTGATATCATTATAATAGTAGTTATTATTATTATGTATCACCAGTAACATATAAATAGTGTTCAATATAGTTTGATTTCTAGTACATTTCTTGATATTCTAATTTTGAAAATTAGTCATATTTGGAAAATTTTACTAAGTGAATTGGGATATACAATTAACACTTCTCTAACCATTTAACATTTAGGAAAACTTGTAGATGTTTTTAATTTCCTGGTAACTGAATGGAGAGGGACAGTTACTTCATTTCTAGAATATACATTGAGCCTTACAAAGTCAAATAATCCTTTGTTCAGGTCTCTTAGTACCTCATAGTCCATACAGACAATCTGTTTTGGCTTTTTTGTTTGTTTGTTTTTTTAGAGACAGGATCTTGCTCTGTCAGCCAGGCTGGAACACAGTGGTGTGATCACAGCTCACTGTAACCACGAACTCCTGGGCTCAAGTAATCCTCTTGCTTCAGCCTTCTGAGTGGCTAAGACTATAGGTTTGTGACACCATGTCCAGCTAATTTTTATTTTTATTTTGTAGAGATGGGGTCTTGCTATGTTGCCTAGGCTGGGCTCAAAAGATTCTCCTGCCTCAGCCTCCCAAACTGTTGGGATCACAGGCGTGAGCCACTGCAACTGACCATCAGAATCAGTATCTGATCATGTTTCTCTTCAGGATCATAAGTCTTTTTTAAAAAAAAATGTGAACAACCAAATTATGTTGTAGACCCTTAGTTTCCTTTCAAATGACCCCATTCTATCAAAATAGATTAGACATTAAGAGCAGTGTTAGCACGAGGTCAGGGGTTTGAGACCAGCCTGGCCAACATGGTGAAACCCCATTTCTCCTAAAAATATGAGGAAAAAAAAAATTGGCAGGGCATGGTGGCCAGCGCCTGTAATCCCAGCTACTTGGGAGGCTGAGGTAGGAGAATTGCTTGAACCTGGGAGGCAGAGGTTGCAGTGAGCTGAGATTGCACCACTGCACACCACCCGGATGACAGTGCATGACTCCATCTTAAAAAAAAAAAAGGCAGTGTTAGCAGGCAATTAACTCTTTTTGCCTAACCACCACTTCCTAACATTTACCTAAATATACAGTCTAGAATATCATATGCTTACACCCTTATGTATTCTGTCTGGAAGTAATAATATAAAAGATAGCATTAATTTACTTTTTTTCAGTAGATGCTACCAAACTGTTAACATGTTATTAGCCTTGAGTTTAGATGTTCAAACTTGTGTCAGGCAGCTGTTGCTACCTGGTACCCATTTTGTTTTATTTTTATTTATCTTTTGGAGGGCAAGGAGGGAATGGCTTTGAAAAATCTCCCAGGCAAGAAAGAAGAAGCCTTTTCTGCAAGGAAAATGGATCGTACTTTGTTTTCCTTCATAAAGGGTAATGAGGCTATAATCTCAAAGCTACGCTTGACCATCATCTGTCAAACTAATGCAAATAAGCCAATGCCCGTCTTCCCTTATTGTAAAACTAGACCAGAAGATAACCACTGTTGTCTAGCCAAAGAAAACCACCCTCATTTCAGAAAATGTTTACTTTTTCACTCTCATTGAGTGATATGCCATCAAGGTATGAGTTAGACCTTGGCACTTTGTGGAAAGGTTTTCTTTGTTTAGCAAAACCACAGCTGTTCATTTCTGGTAATTTTGGATTTCCTAAAAAGTGGCCATAGCTTCTGAATTTGATTTTTAGTAATCTTTAGCAGGCTGAGAATTTTTCTGATTTGAAGATTATATTGAAACACCAAAAAAAAAAAAAAAAAAGTAGAGTGGTTTGTATTTTACCTTATGTATTAATGTGAAATTTAGAGGTGAAGCCTCTTTGTTGCTGAAATAACTGCATCCCCTTGTTTTCTGCTGTCCACTTTTATGTATTTCCTAAATATTCACAAATCTTGATAAACTCTTGTAGTGGTTCTTATTTTGCTTGTGTATGTGTCTTTTCCAGTAATGTACTTTTTTGGGAATCCACCCACAGCTTTTCCATGGTTTCTTCTGTAATTTGGGTTTTATTTTAAAACGCTATTGGAGTCCCTGGGGGGAATCCTGCTGTTACCCCACTCTAAATCTCAAGGTTATCTCCCTATTCTGTTGAATGAGAGAGCCGAAGTCAAAGGTGAGTCAGGGATTCCTCGGTGTGCAGGTTCTCACTGATAAACATGTTTTCTCCAGACCCAGCTGGGGGGCTAAGACTGGGGCAATTGGTGTTGAGAGGGGCTGCTTCCATCCAAGTTCAGTAGCCCTCCCTCACATAAGAAACTATTTCACAACAATCTCAACCCGTTTGTCCTCCACTGTGGATAGGGAAGGGGGAGGGACTTGCTTAAAGAGTTCTAAGGTCATTTTTTTTCTCATTGAAAATATTGCAATAAAGGATACATAACATTAAATTGAGCATTTTAACCATTTTTAAGTGTATAATTTGGTGGCATTAAGGGCATTCACATTTTTGTCCAACCGTCACCACTACCCATCTTGAAGTGACTTGAAGACGATTTGTTTAAAGTCACTTCTTGCCTCAGTTCCCAAATTCCAGTTGACTGTGCTCTCTCTCTCTCTCTCTCTCTCCCCCTAAGTCTATGTTCTCATTCTGATTATTTAACTTGGAGAGTGAGAAGGATTTTTTTTTTAACACCGCATGATGAATTGGTCTCAGTGGAATTCAAACGATCTCGTTGTTTTGGTTATTTCTTATCAGGAATGCTGGATTTTTTTCTAAGAGCCATGGTAGAGGTGAAGGGGCAAAAGGGAGCCACCTCCTTTTGAGTCAATTTAGCAAAAGCGAGGAAATGGTTGGGTGATGGGAAATCATTCCTGGACATATATTCTCCATGCTAAAGGGGCAACTGATACCCTGAAGAAACTGAGACCCCCAGTTTTTACCTAGTGAACCTTCTGGCTGCACTTTAGGGAAAACTCCTTACTGTTTTTATATTTGCCCTCCATTGATAAGAACTTCTTAAGGTCACAGTGTCCTTGGGTAATGAAGCCAGGCAGAGGAATGTTCTTTAATATTTACCTAGTGTGCACAGCGCACCAGGAACTCTACAAAAGATCCACACGGAACATGC